GTCAACCTCTTGGTCAATTATGGCTTGCATGGCGGGGTTACGCGGGTAATACCGCTGTTTAATGGGCACTGCACCCTCTTTAAGCCGAATTTTGTGCTCAACCAGCGAAGTCAGTCCCGGAACTGCCTCAAATTTTGGCAACTCGACCCTCAGGAACTCTGCCAGTTCCTGTTCCTCCTCTGGTGCAAGAGCGTCAATCGCGCTGAGGTTATTATCACCCGTCCCCATGACCTCCGTAGGCAAAATCACCCTTCGATCAACGCAGATCAGGTTAAGCTCCTCTAAACACCTCATGCCCAGAATCAGATCGCACGTCAAATTCGGGACATAATACGCCTCCCAGGTATGGGCTTGTTCGCCCACCCGGCCTGAAAGCTGGTACAAGGATCCCGCTTCACGGCTTGAACCATCAGCCATTCTCATTACTACACTGACGGTGGTGGGGTTCACACCCCAGTCGACAAGGAGTTTCTGAATTCGTGACCCTATAAGATTGACACTAGCCCCAGTGTCGACCAGTGCTCGGAAGGTTTCGCCAAACAATTCAACCTCCACAAAGGGTCTAACGTCACCCCGGTCGACACCTTCCACGGCTCCCGTGAAACCCTTCACATATTCGAGCCACTTATGCCATTCGTGGGAGGTCGTGTGTCGTATTGCTGCCCCGGACTCGGCTGACCTCTGGGGCTCTGAGTCCGGCCACCGTTTCCCGCACGACATCCGCACCGGTACGTGGTAACGCCCTCCGTCTTGCAAAAATAGCAGCGCACCCTCTTAGGTTTCGGGCAATGCCTAAAACGGTGGCCACGCTGATCGCAATTCCAGCACACTAACCCACTCCTTTCCGGGTTAAGCATGGGCCTCAGGTTCTCACCGCTGGGCGCACACCTATTCAACTCCGGCATTGTTCTGGGTTGAACAACCCGCCGAGTTTCAAGACTGGCACAATCTACATTATTTACCGCAGGACCGGAAGTAGCCATCGTCTCCCCCTTAGCGCAAGCATCGACACCCTCGGTTAGCATGGGTTTAACCGCAGCGTGGTCAAACACCCGCTCCATCCTACGCTTTGACACATAAGCCGTTTCCGGAACAAGAGCTAGAGACGGAGGAGGGGGAGGCCGAAAAGTACTTCGATCCCTCAAGTAAGCCTCATATTCCTCGGCCCTCCGAGTCAACTCTGGTATTGTAGCAAAGTCACTACGCCGTACCATAAGTTTATAATCGGGCTTCATATTCGTGTAAACTAGGTTTAACTTCTGCTGAGCAGAGAATTCACCACTGCGCCGAATCAGGGTTGATATCGCAGTGAGATAACAGCGGAATGACTCGTTATCACCCTGCGTACGCTTGCGAATTTCCTCGTCAAGGTAGCGTCGGTATCCGGGAGGATAAAACTGTTTTTCAAAATCAGCCAGAAAATCAGCGAAACCAACCCAAAAACTCCTCTGGTTCCGATACCATAACAGAGCTTCCCCTTGAAGCAGCTCTGGCATTGCTCTTAACACCTCCTCATCGCTCAAGGAGTAGGTTTCTATCAGTTCACCGAGCCGCTCAACAAACGAGACGGGATCTCTTCTCCCATCGAATCGCAAATTCCACTTCCGCACAGAATCACAAATCGAAGTAAACTCACGACTACGCTTGTCAAGCATCGGTTGATAATAGGTAGAAGTCGTAGGCAAGTGTAAATCTCTATTTCGCCTAACCGTCTCATCACTCGGCTGTCCAGAAAACCAAGACACAGTACTCGGCCTATCATGGAGGTTGCCACCTCCTACCCTCCTAGGTAGCCCATCTGTATAAGGCGTATAGTTGCCCGGCTGTAGGTAAGGACGAGCATCTGTCCGGGTTCTCAAAATTGAGTCACCCCACGAGGGCTGAGCCACGCCCCCAAGACAGGGCTGAAGACCTACTCTAGCCGAAGACACCCCTGTTGCAGAGGATACGGGTTCAGGCTGAATTTCGGTCGTTATAGGCCGCTGGAATCCGTCACTAAAGGTGACAAGGCTACCGGTCAAATTAAATGGGCCAGTCTCCTTACGTAAGCCGTCTATGCTTGATGTCTTTGGTTCTGACGCGGTTCTCAACACCACGGCCAAGGTCTGCCTAACTGTGTCCACGTCAGTGTCAGGCGGAAGCCCCAGCATTTCACAAACACTATCCGCAACAACATGTTTGGCGTCCGACCCCACATGCTCGCCTGGGAAGGAATGAGGATGTTGATCACCCCCAGAAGCACTCTCAGGCATGTAACCAGGTTCATGGCCCGTAGCCGTCACCCATGTAGGTTGTTGGGCTTGGTTAATCACCCCAGCCTGAGACAAGAAAGGCCACTGACTCTTAGGGTCCTTCCAGAACTGGCAAAACCTTCTCCTCAGATCTTCCACCTTCCCTCGAGTGTCTAGACCAAACCTCTCCATCTCACGTGTGAGGTCCTCTTTACGCAATTCGTGTATCCACCCCACGCGAGGATCATCGAACGGAGACCTCAAGCCTTCACCCAAAATTGTCGGGTTTGCCCTTGGGATCGCCCCTAGAGTCGCAGGGGGTATTACATCCCGCGTGACATTGAGAGGGTTCGCAGTACTACTGGTAGTCACCGTAAAGGTCCCAGCGCAAGTCGTCACTACCACCGGTACTGTGGTAACGGTTTGAGCAACTGACGACTCAACTTCAGTGGTATTCGGCATGACCGTAACACGGGCCTAATCAAATAAAGTCAAAAATAGAATACAAAATTATTAAATTAAAAAAAATTAAATTCGCCTACGTCTATGTATAGGTGTTATCACACTTAAACCCTTATTACCAGTTATAACAGTTAAATAAAATGCCTAAGTACCAACAAGCTATTTAAAAGAGTGATAAAGCAAGTACTAAATTATCAAATCAATACCAAAATAAAAAAAAACTAAAATTATACTATGCACCCCACAACAATAAATGCAGGTTCAATAAATAAAATATATACAACTGACAATAACTGGTTGCTAAGACTAGCACAAAAGTATCGGCCAAAATTGGCTGTGCTACGTGGGCTAAATAAATTCACAACCACAATTTTAAATAATAATTGGTCGTTAACTAGTTTTATTTGGCCGTTAGTTAGCCTAAAAACAAGCGCTAGTTCCCTCCAACTGATATAAACCAGCTCAAACTAGAGTTAGAATACACTAGGTATATGCTAACTAAAATTAAAATACAACTCCAGTAAAACTAAGTCCAAATCAATCAAAAAATGTCTACTCGTTCGGGCGCCAATGTAACGTGCCGTTTTTCCCGCTCGGAATATATGCGCTATTCCGTAGTTAAAGCGGGAAGACGTCACCAACTCTCGCCAGCGGATCGCTCAAGTCGGCGTGCTGGGAAGTTTCCAGGGTTCGGATAAAAATAATTTATTTAATTAACTCAACAACCTAGCACAGGTACAGATTTGTATTTACGCAAAAATGTAGTGTGAATCAGGTGTGAACTCAGTACCGGTAACCAACAACGCTACTGTACCATCATCATCGTTAACACCTGGGAACAGCTAATTAAATTAAATTTAAAAATAATGAAAACCCGTTCAACGAAATTTTGAAACAACTTAATGTTGCAGTTTCGTCAACCTCAACACTTAGAATATTATTACTAGCGAAATAGTGAATATACACTTAGCGTGCTCCACCCGACCTCGTGTTTGCACGACCTGCAGAGACGGGTTCAACTTTGCCCGCTTTGCCGCAGCAGTTCAACACCTACTGAATATCCCGGCAAAATATCCGCTATAACCCCGTCACCCTCAATATATATTGTAAACACAATATTAAACGAAATTTGTATCCCTAAAACTCCTTATTGCCACCCACAGGAGCCCTAGCATACGCTAAAGCGGACTTATACAAGTTCTAACACCCGACAAAGATCCTACCGTGAGTTTTACGTCTAAAAGAATAAAATGAGGGTTTATCGCTAAATCTAAATAATAAAAAATAATAGTACACACTATTAAGATAAAGCCGGCGAATTACCTGTATACTCCAGGGATCTTCACTGACACACTAAATCACACGTTTAGCAAAATCACTCGATTCAAAGCAAGACACGTCCTAACACTGGAAATCGCAGAATTAGAATGTCGTCGCATCCCCAGCCCACAAGGAATCTCCACTTTCCCCCTCCCTAATCCTCTAGGGATGGAGAATCAGCTGATTCGACTCCCAGCTGATCGGTGACGTCACGAGTTCAAACTTGGCGCTGTCACGACTCACAACACAACGCCAAGACAGCCGACTAGTGGTACAGGTTATGTTGTTATGTACCAACGCCGACTGTGAAATTATACGGCAGAACTTTAATATCGTCGCTGGTTTAAACAAAAAGTATAATTTCCACCCGTGACGTGCAGCTTAGTGTGCGACAAGGTGTATGCATGTTATGTACGCGATATTGTATTCGTGATCGCGGTTCACCACCCTAGCCTAAACAACAACTTTGACCGTACTTCCCAAAGGTGTATATTAGGCATGGGGGTTACACGGAAACGGTTTATCACTCGTTTTGTACACAACGATGCTATACTGTGACTTGTGAATCTCAACAATAGTGTCTTTAGTGATTTTGCCAAAAGTGAGGTTATCCCTACTTCAACCCTAGGATAGGCCTAGAACAGCCTATTTACCTTACCATGATAGGTTTACCACTATCACCAACCAGGTATGGAATAGGCCTACTGATAATTAAATAATAAATATAAAAACTTAACCCCTCTATAATTTTGACCCATTACAATTTCTCAACAAAGGAAGGACCTTAATAACTGACAACTTTTACACTGGCATACCCATCGTCGAAAAACTCCTAGAACTGAAAACGAGGATGTGTGGAACAGTAAATGTGAACAGAAAGGGATTGCCTAAAGGATTGAAAACTAAGTTGAAAAGGGGCCAATGCATTGGATTAAGTGCCAGCATGGTACGAAAGTGGTAAAATGGACGGACAAAAGAAACGTGACAATGGTGTCATCATCCCCTAATCATGACAGTACCCTAGTAAATTCAGGGAGAAGAAATAGAACAAATGAGCCGATACTGAAGCCTAAGTGTGTGCTTGACTATAATAACGTGAAGAAGGGAGTTGACTACAGTGATCAGATGTCGTCATACTACACAACGTTACGAAGAAATCTCAAGTGGTATAAAAAAGTTGCCCTTGAGCTCATCACGGGAACCACATTGGTGAACTCGTGGGTTATTTACGGGAAGCTGAACAACGACAAAATGCCTATGCTTAAGTTTAGGGAATCAGTTGCTTTAAGCCTAATGGGCCTGGACGAGGCTCCTGTAAGACATATGACACCACCACAAAGAAAGAGGCCAGCTCATTCTCTCTGCAAATCAGAGGGTGAGGGAAAGAAGAAAAGGCGTCATTGCAGAGGATGCTATGAGAAACTAAGGAAAACATCCTCTTCAAGAGAGGCTGATAAGAAAACCAAAACAGTGAACACCTTCTGCAAAGACTGTCCAGACCAACCCTTTTTTTGCCTGGAATGTTTCAACAAGAAACATGTGTAATTTTAATTTTAGTATTCAGTGTCTTTGAGAACATCAACATTTTAATCATATGAAAAATATAAGAATCTTGAAGGGCTTATTTGACAAAATATTTTATTACTACAGTATATTTGTTTAGATATTTTCATTCAACACTTAAAACATTGGAATTTTTATTTTGTATAATAATATTACACATTTTTACTACATTGCAATCCATGTTTTAAAATTGTAATGGAATAAATAATGTGCAAACATATTATTCATTTATATTTTTTTAACCTAGAATCAGCCATGAGAAAACGTATTATTATAAAAAGTTTAATTTTATATCTATAAATTGATAAAATATTAATTTTATTGCAGTCGATTATTAGGAATTTGTAAATAAATAGAAATCACATGTTTTATCGTAAATAAATACAAATAAATTATGAAGTATTACAAATGTGCGATACGAGATCTCGGGGTCTCGTACAATGACGTCATATTCAGTTCCTGGGCTGGCTGAAGATTGTCAACATTGTACTGGTTCAAATAAACAAACATAGAGCGCCCACTCTCCATTTATTTTGAGGTTATGATGCGCAAAAGATTACTGCACAACGTAAGTATTCCACCATTCCAATGAATTTTCTTTTCTTGAGATGGGTGGGTCATCCATATAACGTTGAACCTCTCTGATGGTCGATGAATACGCAGTCCCCTGTGGTTTCACTTTTCTTATCGTCTCGTCACAATCATCCCACACAGAAACTTTTGTTTTTCCTTCTGCTTCAAGTGGGTTTGGCTCATCGGTTTCTTGAATTGTTGAATCTTTTGCCTTTTGATTTATAAAACCAGTATCCAACTTTATCACATTGTCTTTTGTTTCTCTCTCAGTACTTGCCTCTTGAAATAGGTAATGTTTGTACTTGGGATCGAGAAAAGTACAAAGCGAAAACGATTTGCTTTTTTCCAAATTTGGGAACCTTTCATCTATTCCTTTCAGCATGTTGGAAGAAATAGTTTTCACCAAGTCTTTAGACACGTTTCTTGATAGCTTACTGATTTAAGTCCTTTCGTAATGGGAATCACCTTACTGGCTGTGAGATATTTTTCCGTGCTCATCTCTTTAGTTACTTCGTGGAATGGTTCCAGTATACTGCACAGTTGTTTACATACTTCCCATTCGTCTGCGGTCAGGGGAGTGAGGCCTGTATCCAGGAGGGCTAAAGAGTGCTTAATCGCTTCCTCAAGAAGTACAATTCTCTCCAACATAAAAAATGTAGAGTTCCATCTCGTGACTATGTCTTGAATTAACCTTTTCGGTTCTTTTATTCCAGATTGCTCCTGGTACTTCACAAGTTTTAAAGCTGCCTTGTTACTTCGTTTGAAGTGAGCCACGATAGATTTCACTTTAGCAATCATTTGATTTGCTGGCTCGACAGATTTCTGAACAATTAAATTAATTTTGTGTGCATGGCACCCGTAGTGTTTTAACTGTAGGAAATCAACAATGGCGTTGGTGATATTACTGGCATTGTCAGTTACTACCATCCAAATTTTCCCTCTCCCCACTCATCAATTGACTGTGAAATTACATTTGCTAGCTGTTCAGACGTGTCACCAGTAGTGTAAGCTGAACACTCCAACAATACCGTTTTCATTGAAAACTCATCGCTTATATAGTGCCCAGTGATTGCGATAAATTTCTTGTTTCTGGATGAGGACCAAGAGTCAGTTGTGATGCCCAACGATTTTACCTCTTCATTTAAAACTGCTTTAATTTGGTTTTTCTTTTCTCCATATACTGCTGGCATTAACGAATTCGCAAAGTACTTCCTTGATGGAAGTTTGTATCCAGGTGCACAAATACTCATCAGGTTGGTGAACCCCCTATCTTCGACAATTGAAAAGGGTTGAAAGTCCCATGACATCATATTTAAAATTGCGTGATCAATCTTATTTTTTTCTGATGACGTTACTTTTTTGGGGATGTACGTCTGGAGAGAGGTTTGCGTCTTTCTTCGCATCTGAGTGGAAATTCCACTAGTACTTGGGGCATTCTCAGATGGATTAAAAAGCCTTATGTTTAATGGCATGGATTCACAGTCAATTGTGTCAGGTACATTACAAGATCCAATAGGAGTAGGAGTAGAATCAGTAGAACCTACTGCTCCTACTTCATAGTCCGATTCAACAACAATGACAGGTGTGTCAAGGTTCACAAGGGGTTTGTTGAATGAGTGACAGTAAAATTAGGTAGCTTACTTGGAAGAGTAACTGTAGGGTACTTCCTTTGCAAATGTTTCTTTAAATTGGACGAAGAACCAGCGAACGAGAGTTTATTTTTACACAACTTACAAATTGCAATGTTTTTTTTTCAAAACTGTCAAAAAAGTTCCACACTTCACTATTTTTTTTTCTAGCACCTTTTTTATCCATTTTGTATCCTCTAACCAAAAACCTCTAACCAAAAAATTCTAGTACCGGCATTTCAGTTATTCATAATTTAATGGCAAACTAAGTGTCACTAAACTAAATACTACGAATTGATTATAAACTTACTTAACACAATTACTTATATAAACTAAACACTATGAATTTATCAAATTCAATGTACAGTTCGCAAATAATTAATAAAAAACAAGCAAGACGGGTTTAGTTATAAGAAAACTAAAGTTTAATACAATGTTACTATCGGTTGCACAACACTTACGTTACTGTACATCTATTGTTGACTACACTCTGAACTCAACTGGAACTAACTGACGTATGACATTACTGATTCCTTCTTCCTTCTGTCCTGTCTGTACTGTAGTTGTACTCGTCAAGTCACGTGATAGCAGAACTAGCAATTCGATTGGCTCTGTAGTACTCGGTTCCTTATGAAGCGCTCCTATTGGCCCCAAAGTACTCAGTTCCTTTCTCTAACTGATACCGAGTACTTGTACTACCGCCAATACACACTCCTTGAGTTACACATGCTTAGTGATTACTTTGTACCTGATACTTTGTATTTTGAGTAACGGATACTTCCGATACTGACGAGTACTGATTACAAAATACTGATTACCGTAGTACCGTCACATCACTAAAATGTTTTCTTATTCGTGTTTTTTGTGTAATATTTATTTTGACAAAATCATCCACGAATGACAGCTATTTTATCTTGACGCTCTACAAACTGAAGATGTGCCCCAGCGGCATGAAAAAGCTGTAGTTATCACTTACTACATCAAGGATCGTTCGACGCAAAAGGTAACCTAAACCATTTTATATTGCAATTTTCGATCCAGAGGCTAACCCATCATGAAATTAAAATTAAGACCATTCCAAAGAATAAACAAACTTGATGCTGCATGTAATAGTAATTACATGATATAGCGTATTCTAAATTCTCAGATAGTAAAAGTAAGTAAAAAAAGGCTCATGTAAATGTAAAAATACTAAAAAGAAATCCAATCCTGGGCGAAAGAAAAGGAAAGTATCGTACTTAAGACCTTATAAGGGATCTGGAGGTGTAAAAAATTAACATACTCAACGAAATATATAGATGATATACCTCTTCGCCCACTTAGTAATAAATTCATTTATCAATGGGCTGCAATTTTAAAGATACCTACAAAATTTAAGAGGTGTGTTTATGAGAGATTTCTTTACCACAAAAGATAAATGAAACTGAATGTGATGTGGTTAATTTAGAGATAGTAAAACTGGAAATGTTACTAATTGGGTTTGTTATAAGAAACAAGGGTTTATAGAACAATTTTTGGATAATTTTGGAAATTTGAACTACAACGCTACTTCAACAGTGGACCTCACTACACAGAAGTTAGTTACAATTTTTTACCAAGACAAAAAGATGATGGAAGTGAATTGCGGTCATTTATGTTTAGACTTCCAAGTTGATGTCTACATATACAAGTGTATCTACTCGTATATCCTCTGTCAAAATCTCATATATTGACAGGCTGTGTCTGAATACAATAACCTTTTTCCAGATCCAAAAAACCCTTTTCATAATGGTGTGATTAAACTCATACATGTGTGCTATACTTAGTTCTAATACAGTAAAACAAATGTATATAGGTTTATAAAATAAAATACTGTCTTTGGAACAGACTGCAACAAGGTTTTCACTATTAATTTTGCAGTTAAGAAAAGTGGACTTAGAAATAAGTTTATTTAATCTTTTTTCAAATGTTACTAGTTCTAAATTCATACGCTTCCTAATGTTTTCAATGGATTTTCCAAACATGGCATTATTTATACAAATCTTCCTCAAATGCATTATTTACGTGTCTACGTTTGTTTGTATTCCGATCTATGTAAGGTTTAATGTATGGACTCTGTTTGAATTTGAGGATTCGGTGTATCTAAGTCAACTTTAAACCAAGTTGAAGACATTTTCTTTATTGATGTATGCCTAATGAATAGTGTATCGTTCTTTATTTTCTTAAGTTGTTAGGAGCTCCTTTTGCTTTGAGTTATGGGAGCATTTGTTTTATGGACACAAAGGTAAATCATTGTGTTCATCGTGAAGATGTTGAGGAAGTCCACCTCACATATGTACCCGATTGACGAAGTTTTAGAAATTTGTTCTATAACGCATGCTTTAATTTCTTGTTTGCTCATCCATTCAAAAAATATAAAAAGCATAGGTTTGACTCATTGCCTTACCATACATATTATTGCTATCTAAATTTATAGGATTACTAGCAGAGTACCCGTCCTTCGTACGGGGTGGCATATAAGTAAAAAAAAAATGTTTATAGCAGTTATACTCAACTCAAGCTTTGAATTTGCAATGGGGGAGGACACATTTTGATAAAATTTGCTTCTTTAAATTTACGGTATACTATAGTAAAAACACATCTACCATAGCCATAATATTCCACTACTTCATCTAAACAATAGAGAAGAATAAATTATTAAAAGTTCCAAAATATCAAAAATTATTCATGAAATTAAAAACATAAACACAACTGTACACAATCCTACTTTGACAGTTCTCATTGCATATCACAGTTTGTTTT